TAGAACTCGGTGCAACTGGAAGTTCTTTTTTCCCGCCCGCTGTGATGATGCCACAGGCAAACACCCAAACCATTTTCGTGGTAGGGTTTAGGGGCTCACGCCCTCAATGCCCACACCTTGTCATACATGGAAGGATACAATGCTTCGCACGCGTTATTTTTTTGGGGCAGGGCAGGGGGGCAGGGCGGCAGGGCAGGGGCAAGGCAGGGCAGGGCAGGGCAGCCCAGACAAAGATGGGTGGGAACGGGTCCATTGCCGAATATCCTGAAATCAGGGATCCTGAACCCTGCCTACTCTCCTCCCACTTTTTATTGAGGCCTCCAAGACTTAAGTTCCCTAAGCCCTAAACTCTAAACGCTAAAACCCTAAACCCTAAACACTAAAACCCTAAGCCCTAAACATTGAAAACCCGAAAGCTCTGAAGCTCCATTTCTCGAACATGCCAAAGCCTAAATCTTTAAATGATCATAGTCCCATGTCCAAGACCCTACTTGGAGGATCATGGGGCTCAGCAATTAAGGCCTTAGTAGCTGAGTGAGTACACTTTACACTTTTCGGGAATATATGATTCCTTATAGAACTGAAAGTGTACACTTTTTGGGGCCTGTGAACTCAGCAACTAAGAGGCTAGGAGGACCTTAACTGGGGCTATAAGTACTTAAACTAACTATAGCCATTTTTTTTTTAACCCGATGATTACCATGATTCTTCAAAGTAACGTTAGAAACCCGATATAGACGCCTTATAGATCCATGTAAGGAGCCCCAAAACTCCGTATAGAACCCGTATAGAACCCTGAGCGATCCCTCTATGGACCCCGTTGAGGAGCCCTTCAAGTATGCCACTGGGTTTAGAGTTTAGGGTAAACCCTAAACCCTAGACCCCTAAACCCCTAAACCCTAAACCCTAAACCCTAAACCCCTAAACCCCTAAACCCCTAAACCCTAAACCCCTAAACCCTAAACCCTAAACCCTAAACCCTGAGCAGGTCCTGGATGAACTCGCGCGAGGCTTCGAGAGCCCGGTCCCGCCGGAGATTCTCAGCCCCTGGAAACGAAAAGATCAGGGTGGTTTAGGGTTTAGGGTTTTGGGTTTAGGGGTTTAGGGTTTAGGGTTTAGGGGTTTAGGGGTTTAGGGTTTCGGGTTCGGGGGGGTTTGGGTCTAGGGTTTAGGGGGTTTGGGGGGTTTAGGTCTAGGGTTTAGGGGGTTGGGGGTTTATAGGGTTCAGGGTGTATGGGTTTGGGTTTAGGGCTTAGGGGCTCCCTAAACCCTAAACC